GAGGGGAGGGGACGGGCGGCCTCAGCTGCAGCTGAACTCTCAGCCCCAGTTGATGAGTCATGAAACGCCCCAGCCTCCTTTGACATGAAATGGCTCTTTTTCAATGCAGTTGTTCTGTTACCTTCTTCAAGTACAGGCATTTTCCTCCTGGGTATGAATTTTTACTGAAGCATCGTTGACTTCCATTGCAAAATTATTTCTCGTCTGCCTTTCTATATTACCACCGAGTCATACAGCTTACCGCCCGCACTGTCATCGAGGGCGTTTAGATCAGAGCCGACACTATGAATGTGAACTCTTTAACGAAGTGTTTTCCAAGATGCAGGATGTTTGCATGGATACAATGGAAAGATAAAATGTAGGTAGTGTTGTATCAAAAGAACCTAGAAGATGAAAGCCCCGAACAATTGAAAACTTGTGTAATAAAAGCTATCAAATCTGAATAGTGGATACTCAGGGGCAAGCATTAAAATAGCTACCTCTCCATTTGCAGAGTAGCTGTACAACATTCTGGACAGACTTATAGACCAGTATTTGATAGATATTTACTGAGTTCATATGTTGGGCTTCCATGGTTTATTATATAAGTCATGGTGGCTGGATTCACAGAACACATTAAGGCACACATCATGGTTTACAAACAACAGTGGCAGGGTTAAATCATGTTAAGCAAAATCAAACTAACCATTTTACAGTTTCATGTTACATGTGAATTCACACTTTTGCTTGCTTTAAAGAAGAGAAGGTTAGATAGCAACAATGTGATGCAGAAAACTCTTATTTTTTTCTTCCTGCCATCTACTAGGCCTCTGGAGTTTTGCAAGCCAAATCTGGTAGGCCTAAATTAGTGACAAAGTAAGATTCAAACAGATTTCTTTGCAATGTATTCTGGTGTTGTGGGGCTTTGTTTTCCATAATTATGGAAGAACTACAGGACAGGAATAAGGTCAGAACAGAAATCTGCTGAAACTTATTTATACAGATGCTGGCTACAGAAAGAATGCATAGTTGAACAATAAAGTTGAAGGAACTAAAAAAACCCTTTTGTTTTCAGAATTCAGACATACCTTTATTTTGATTTTCTTGTAGGCTTGATAGGCAAATTACTGCGAGTTTGTATCCATCAGGATCAAACTGCAGTAGAGTGGAAAGACTGTAAAAAAGTGAAGATGTTATCTTATGCCCTAGAAAAATTTCACTTGCTCCTGACTGTTCATAGGTTGCTGTTGTCCTAGCCTAACTATTAATTCTTTGGTCTCAGATCTATGTCTGAGTGAGTGCTGCCTGGGGAATTCTGGGAGTTGAAGTCTACACATCTTAAAGTTACTGTGGTTGAGAAACGCTATCTTAGACCAGTAGTCTTCAAACTTTAAATATCCGAGGAACCCTTCTGTGTGAGAACCCTGATGTGAAAAGCCAGTGCGAAACCCATCAATAAATATGTTTCATGTAATACATTTTATTTGAACAAAACGTTACAATTAATGTTGCAATAATACATTTCATACAGTAGATACAGAAACCGTCATGTGGAATCCCTGGAGTTCCAGGAAACACAATTTAATATCTTAGACAATGGTTATTTTCTCACCTTCCAGTCTTACCTGTCTCTGCTTTCCCTTCTGTCCACGAAAAGCTAAAATCACCAAGTTTTGCTCACATTATTCATAATGAAACAAATGTTAATTAGATGCTAAAGTAGTTATGATAGAAAAAAATCTGTTGTTTGGGGAGAATAAATTACTTTGCTCTGCAAATGGCCCCCAAGAATGTAGTATGTTGTTGTGCATGTTTACTTTGAATGCAAACCCATTAATTTTCAGTGCAGCTTACTGTAAGTAAATGTTCACGGAATTATAGTCTTAGTTTCTTTGTCTTCCATGATCCACATACCTTCTCCCAATGTTGCAAGAATAATTTTCAAGTCTTCCTATATATGTGATTAAAATAAGAGCACTTCAATTTAGGTATTGTTTATTAGCTGCCAAACTCCAATGGACTCTGAGATCATCTGGTCCAACCCTTGGCTAATGAAGGAACCCACTACTGTGGCATCCCTAACAGATGGCTATCTAGCCTCTGCTTAAACAGAAGGATAGTTCACCTCTTCTCCCCTTCCCACAATCTGTTTGTTGACCAGTGCATACTATTAGGACATTCTTCTTGGATATCCAGTCAAAATCTGCTTCCATGTAATTTAGACCCATTGCTCCTTGTCCTGTCTTCTGGGACAACTCTGAATAATTCAGCCCCATTTTCTCCATGACAGCCTTTCATATCTCTGCAGCCTTCTCTTCCCCAGACTAAACATACCCAATGCTTCCAGCTGTACCTCCAACTTTTAACCTTTCAGGGTCCTTATCATCTTGCTTGCTCTCTTCTGGATATATTCATATATTCTGGATATAGTAAGTGTTCTTCCTAAAATGCAGTACCCCAAACTAGGCACAATATTCTAGGTGTGATTAACCAAGGCAGGATAGAGAGGGGCTGTGACTTCTCTTGTTCTTAACACTGTACTTCTGCTGATGCAATTTAAGATTGCACTGGCTTTTTTGTAACTGAACATACTGTTGGCTCATGTCCAGCCATCAAGCCACCCAGATTCTTTTCACTTGTACTGCTACTTAGTATGGCCTCCCCCATTGTATACTCATGCCTTTGATTTATCGCATCCAAATGAAGGTCTTGGCATTTGTCCCTGTTGAAATTAATCTTGCTGGTTTCTGCCCATTGTTCTAGCATATTAAGATCTTACTGAATCTCAGTATGGTTCCTACAGGATTTACTACCCTTGTCTTTGGTTGGTGGTGAACAGAGTGTGTGTTTGCAGTTCAGAAAATAATATATAAATACTAATCAGAAAATCATGAATGGATTTAATTTTATTATTAATTTCAATTTATATTCTGCCTTATTGCCAAGAGGCATAGGGTAGATGGCATTCACCATCATAAAACCTTGTTTGATTAAATTTTAAGATATACAAACATTTAAGATCTATGTCTATTTTTATGGGCTGTTACTGAATTAGTTCTTGTTAATAAGTAAAGCCTTTACGCAGTTTAGAATAGGGGCTTTTGGCTGAATAAAGAAGCTCCTTGCTTCAGCCCTTCACTCACCGGTGTGTGGACAGCAGTACAGCAAGCAGGAGCAAGATCTGCTTCTCAGGCAAAAGATATTGCAGGAGGAGGCTTAATACTTCTGTGGTTCTGGGGCAAAATAAAATATAATAAGATGGTTGCCTGTCCCATATCAACTCTATTTTAATAAAAAGGAATTGAGTTTTGACGTGAGAGGCTCTTGTTTAGCTATCATATGTCTTGGGTAGACTGAGATAGTGCAGAATGGCCAATGCACATATCATGTTAAGCCATGCTTTGTTTTATCCATGATACGCTATAGTGTCCTGGTTGATATATTACAGTCCACAACTTCTGGGTTTATACAATATAGTAACACCAAGGCAACCTATGGTTTACCTGTATGAACCAAGTTGATATATTTGAGCCTAAACTACCGAACAAGGATAAAATCTTTACTTTGTCCAAACTCCAGGAACAAGATGAGAAAAGAACTGAGATGGCATACTAGAGAGGTAAAATAAATCTGCCAAAGTGGATCCAATCCTGGCACAGGGGGCAGCAACAAACAGACATTGTTTTCAGCTGAAGGAGATTGGGTAAATCAAGATACATTTAGAAAAGTTGCTTTAGCATACATGCGGGAAAGTTGCTTGCAAAACTGTATCAGTGGGACATGCATTTAATTAAAGCATACATGTGTCAAAGTACATATAGAATGAATTGATAGATAGGAAAAAAAAGATGCCTACAAATCAGCACCTCTAGCAGAAGTATATGTCCAAAATCTGAGCAGCAACAACAATAGGTTTTCTGGAAGTTTGGAAAAACTTTGTTCCCTGGTAAAGTTGCAGAATGAAATAGCTGCAGCATTGGTAGGGCTGATTTGTCAATTATTTGCAAGATAGAAAGGAGGTATAGAAACAATTTAATCAAGGAAAATGGAGCAGGAGTCGTAACTGTGTTGACAAATCCAAACACTAAAACCTAATTCATACTTATGAAGGGAATCCATTCCCCATGTTAGACAGGTACATGCTGGTTTTACATAGGAGATGCTGTATTTAAACAAATAGATACCAAAATCAAATTTGAGAAAATTGTCTGAATGGAATTTGAATAATTAAAATTCCATAAAATATTAACTAGCACATAACTTAAAATCTTTAGCCAATATATCATAAAGACATTGGGCAGATACAATGGTAGGACTCAAGACAGAAATATTGTTGTTACAACTGAGATTTGCTTCATTTGCATCTTTGGAAAATAGTCACAAAAAGCTAAAAAAAAGAAGAGTAATTTAGCTTAACTTCAGCCTGGATCCAGACTTGGCTCTTCTCAGAAAAGATACATGAAAACCCAGGGATGTAAGTTAGTTATCACTAATTCAAGGCCCATATATTTCAGTGCACTTTCTCTATGTGTGGTTATACCCTTTACTTTTTATTATAGAACAGGCTTTCCCCTTTGTCTTTTTCTAAGTCCTCTTGACCCTAGCTCTTCTGTGAAGTTGGATAAATTATGATTTCCTCAAGCTCTCTTCATATGTTTTTCCCGAGGGTATCTGGCCAAGGTCTCCAACAGCCAAGGACACACTCTTCTTCCATCAGGGGGAGCACTGAATCCAGGAAATCTAGCTTTCTTCTCATACTGTACAAAGGTTTTTGGAAAAGAATACTGTATAGCAGTGGATTAAATGACAAGGAAGCCTTCCTGGAACTCAGGTTTCATCCCTCTGTCTCTCTCCTGTCCTCTGCCCAGAATAATCTCATGGATATCCAGACAATCATAACAGAGAAGGAGAAGACCCTCCCAAGCGACCATCCTGGTAATCAAGCTCATGAAGCCAACTTACATTTATTATTTTACAG